GTGGGAAAGGGCCACCCCTCAGGGTTACGAACCACAAAGTAGTCTCACTTCCAGGCGGGGATCCTATTCGGCAGCTCGTACAAGAGCTTGTAGCCGCGACGGGGAGAGAGGTAGTAAAAGCGCCTCTCCGGAGGAACCCCAGGAGCAACATTCTTTATACAAAGGATAGAGGTGAAAATGTCAAGGTCTAGAGGGAGGCAGTACTCGTGACATAACGATATAGTCCCAACCATGTTTCGAACAGCGTTCGGGTGAAGTTGGTCTATAGTAACGTTGAAGTGGTTCAGCACCTCCACTATCAAGGGGTGCAGAGGAAGACGCAGGCCAGCCTCGAGCTGTTCCTGAAAGATCACTATGTCATTGGGACCATGCTCCCAAGGGAAGTTGCCAGTAGGGAGGTTGTAAACCAGATCCCCAGGAAGGCGAAAGTAGCGGATCAGAGACCTGAGCCTGTCCGCTGTCATCAAGGAAGGGCCAAAGGTATCAGGATCCCTCACCCTAGAAGTGGACGCCATGTCGCCAGAGGCCTCCCGAGCTTCCGGGATATGCTCCCAGGCTCCCCCCGAGCTCGAGGGAGCATCATCATCATCTTGACCATCGCCCCTGTGGTAGGTATGGCGTGGGTACCCAGACATGGCTGACGGCGATCGGGACTCACCAGAGTAGACGGAACGGGGCAGACTAAGAAACTCGAGTAGACCAGGCGAAGTACGCAACCTCAGAATCCAAAGGAAGATGGCGTGGACGGAGGTAGGGCTGAGGGGGGCTCCCCATTTATAGCCCTTGCCCTCTTAAACCGACGGCCTGGACCGAAACAGATCCAATGGCCCGCGGGCGCCCTGACCGCACACCTTCTGAAAACCGAAGGCGATTGGCGGCACATCTTCCACGATTAAGGTAGTCGAAGCCGCACGACATTCGGAATTAAAGGCCACCTCAGCACGTTTTCAAAATCCGAGAAGTCGGAAGAAGTCAGAAGATCTCTTGATTCCCGCCAATGCATTTATTACGGTCAATCAAGTTTGAATTTCGGTCAAATCAGTCCATTGCGCTTCATAAACTCCTCACACTAAGGCGGCACTCTTAGCCCGAGGAGTGAGAGGCAATTGATGAAGGATGATTTGACCTGACCTATGAAATGACGACACGTGGACGCTGACTCAGCGTAAGCGACAGCTCAACATTGTGTTCCGGTACGGCTAAGTGATAGGCTCATAAAGCAGTTCGCTACGCGGTGGCAAAGTAAAGGAAAGGCTCGCTACAACGCGAGCTCCAGGTTCCCCGAGCTACCAATAAGGGAATACTCCAAGAATATTTCAGCTCGCGAGCTAGGGAAACCAGCTCGCTCTAGCACCTAGGTAGAAGACTGCCCCAAAGACCAACCTTGATGAGGGTCACCTCAAAGTACCCCAAAGAGCTTGCTGCAAAGTAGCTCGCACCAAGGATAGCTCGCTACGAGGTAGCTTGCGACTGAGTGATGCGACGCTCTCAGGAAGCTTCCATTTGACAAGACCGTACCAAACAGACTACGCTGCGTCTCTCGACTGGCGGCGCAGTCCTTGTTCTTTCGACAGTCTGTGCCCACGTCTCTCGACAGATGGAGGCATGCCTGCCCCTTTGGGACGTGTCACTCAACCAAGCGGATAGTACACTGTAACGATCACCTGCGCAGACCTGGCAGGTAACGGCTACGGTAGGAGCCCAGTGGCGGTTATGCCTGATCTCACAAGAGCACTCCTATAAAAGCCCCCAGGGCAGAGGAGAAACTCTCTCTTAAGACCTCCAACCTCTCAAACATAGTGATAAGCGCGACCTCCACTCTTAGCTTTCATTTGCCCTCTTTACTTCCATACACAGTACTAACTTAAGCATCGGAGTATTCCCACTGGGCAAACCCTCGGGAATCCTTCCTTTCGTCTTCTCAGGTGCCGCTCGTTGCCAGCAAGGAGCCTGTCAGCCGCCAGCTAGGAGTGCCCGGATCGCGCCACATCAATAAGTATTTAGTGGAGAGACACGTACTAAATGCAATGAATGTGCATGTACATTATATGTGTTTGGTTCCTTATGTGTTTATTGGAGGGGCGTTTATTAGGTAAACGTTTATCTAATAAACACTCACTTTAAATGTTTTTCCTTTGTTTGGTTGGGCCTATTTTGGATGTTTCAAGAAACACCCCTTCACAACTCAGCAGAATAAAACATTTTTCATATTTGCTGTTTGGTGGCGCGTTTCAAGAAATAGCCATATCGGTGTTTCAGTGTGACACTTTCACTTTGATGTATAGGAGTCATTTGTCAATCCAATGGTCCAAATTACATGTGCCTGTATTTAATGACCGATTTTCAGATCCAACAGTGGATCTATGATGCAAACCACATCTAATGGTCGAAATATGTGGTATAGGTCTTCAAAGTGTGAAATCAATATTTATTTATGCATATTATATGCAAATTATCAATTTTTTTCTCCTAATCTCATTGTATTCCTTGTTTGATATTTTCTTCTATTCTTGGATTCCAGAAAAAATATTTGGTTGGTAAAATATTAGTTTGATCAAAAAATTATTATATAAAAAAACATTTATTTGCACCTTGAAAATAAACTTTGAAAGTGGGTTTTTTACTTAAACTTTGAATAAGACCGATAAAAATCAGAACTTTTTACTAAAGCAACCTAACTCCACCATGACCTCATCCAAGACAATAAAGAGGGCAAGTTATTTTACGCACCCCTCATTGTTGGACATTTAAACTTCATTGGGTTAGTTGGATCTAATGTATTAAAAATGTTTCTAACACATTGAATGTGAATCAACCCGGGTTGGTTTACCCAAGGATAAACTAGACCCGACCCAAAAGAAAAAAAAAAAAACTCAGGTTTTAGGTTGGTTCACTCTATTAATCTTAGGCTCAGTTTGAAAAGAATATAAATGTAAATATATACAAAATGATACAAAATACAAGGTTTTGCACTCTACATATTTACATTTGTATTTGTATTCCTTCCAACTAAATATTACACTTATTGCATCTAAGATCTTGCATGCATGCTTTTCTTTGCTCACGGTAAGACCATTTAAAGTCTAAATAAAAATAGTAGACTGGAAGAGAAAAGCCTTTTAATTTTTAATTAAGAAAGCATACAAACGGCAAACTGGTTCAGATCTAAGATTGAAGTAGAGAACAACCCAGTAAATCAAAAACGTTTAGATTGGGTATCCCCCATTCACAATAAATTAAAAAAGTCTAGAGGAGGGGAACGGTGGACATACCATTCAAATGGGCAAAAGAAACAGCATTGATTTGCAAGGGATTAACGGCATATGAAGCACTATGCCGACGAGAGCTGCAAAGGAGAAAATGTTACGATTCGTCAAGAAAAAAACACCTTGTCGGCATCAAGGCGAGGGATTAACAGGGTGTCGACGGCAAACTTACCGGCGTCCACTAGTCAGTGTCAATGCATGAAAAGAAAAGCTCCCTGCAAGGCCAATCGTCTGTGGTGTTAACTTACCTCAGTTCGATACCCTAATTCATGGTTAGGGTTTCAAAATGTTTTTTTTTTCTTGTGGAATGGTAGATCCACTATGCACCGGATCAGAAACTATCTGTGCCACATCGGATTACACATCAGTGTTACATCATACTTGCATTTTGTGAAATGACTAGCCATTGGGGGTAGCGAGAATTTGATACTTCCCCCAATGGCTCCTTTTACGAAAACCAATGAAAAACGTTTATCAACATTTTCTCAATAAACGCTCGCACGGAACAATAATTTTAAACCCAAGAAACGTTTATTAACCCAAATGCTGATATGGCACTGAGGTGGCAACGTTTTTTCAATAAATGTAAATGGAACCAAACACACTGTTCTTCCAAGCACTAGCAAAATGTTTGGATGCAAAGTGAAATGAAAATTATTCCAGTTGTGGTTTTCCATTATATTCGACAGATCTGCAATGGAGTCGAGCCTTTCATTTGCAAATACAAGATATAGAAACAAGTTAACTTAGGTTGTGTTTGGCTCTGAGAAATTTATTGATGAAATTGGGAAATTTGTTCTTATTCTCCACAACTTTCCTAATTTCAACAATTTTCTCAAAAACCAAATGCTACAAGGGGTTATAAATTTCATGTGCTTTCTTACTTAACAATAATTACAAAATTTTGGACACAAATCCATTAGAATATAAGGCCACATTTGTTATGAACTAAGCAGGGCAAAAAAGTACTTCCAGTAATTTTAAGGAACATAGAGCTGAAATATTTTATCCCGAGATTATTGTCCCTTAAATCTTAGATTCCCTTTTGCTTTCAATGCAAAATTGCAAGCCCAAATTGGGTGCAAACTTTGCATCTAGTTCAGGTTGAGGCAATTAATTGTAGTTTCATTTTTTTGGTAGGCAAATGGTTTATAAAACAGCCAACCGTGAATGGCTCTCCCCCCAACCCTTGACAACTCAATCACAGATCTTTGTTATATCCAGTAAGCTAACAAGCAATTTTTCATAGCTAGGGATGGCAATTTTCACCACCTTGAAAGGGTGTTTTTTTTTTTTTTTGAAATCAAATTTTGGGGTGGGAAAGGTTTTGGGATTTTACAAACAATACAGGTATAGGTAGGGTATAGTGTTTAGGTTAAACCCAACCCTCCCAATTGATAGTTTATGTATTTCATACATGTTCCAATCAAATAATTGGTGATGTGGCACGATCCGGGCACTCCTACCTAGCTGCTGACTGGCTCCTTGTTGGCAACGAGCGGCACTTGAGAAGATGAAAGGAAGGATTCTCGGGGATTTGCCGGTGGGAATACTCCGTTGCTTAAGTTAGTACTGTGTATGGGAAGTAAAGAGAGAAACGAAGGCTAAGAGTGGAGGACGCGCTTTATCACTATACTCGAGAGATTAGAGGTCTCAAGAAAAAGTTTCTCCTCTGCCCTGAGGGATTTTATAGGAGCGCTCTTGCGAGATCGGGCATAACCGCCGCTGGGTCCTTGCCACAGCCGTTACCTGCCAGGGCTGCGCAGGTGGCCGTTGGGACGTACTCCTTACTCGGGTGAGTGACACGTCCTCAAAGTGACAGGCACGCCTCCGCCTACTGAGAGACGTGGGCACAGACTGTCGAAAGAACAGGGACTGCGCCGTTAGTTAGGGACGTGGCCCAGTCTGACTGGTACGGCTTGTTAAATAGAAGCTTCTTGAGGAATGCTCGTGCGGCCCATTCGCGAGCTACTTTGCAACGAGCTTCGAATACTTCAAAAGTACCCCTAGTAGAATTGGTCCTCAGGATGACTTGTCTTGTTCGGGAGCTCGGGCGAGCTGGTTTTCTTAGCTCGCAAGTTAAAGTTTGCCTCGGAATATCCCTTTAGAGGTAGCTCGGGGAACCCGGAGCTCGCGTTGTGGCGAGCCCCTCCTTTAGCCCACTACCATGTAGCGAGTTGCTTTATGGGCCCATTACTTAATTGTACTGGACCACAATGCTAAGCTGTCGCTTACGCTGAGTCAGCATCCACGTGTCGCCATTTCATAGGTCGGGTCAAATCGTCCTTCATCAATTGGCATTTTTCATTTTTAATGTTTGTTCATGATTTTGCTTGTTTAATGCTTATATACAAAAGCAAATAATAAAAAATGATGTGTAGGCTTTAGACCTAACTTACTAATCCGAACTACCCACCCTCAAATGTGGAGAGGATAGGCTTGGTGAGGGTTTTGCATTTTTATATATGGAAAGGGTTTGGATTCTGAAAAACTAATCTACTGCAAATTTTGGGGATGATATAGATTGGGAGGTTTGGGGAAATGGGGGCAGTGTAAAATTTGTCTCTTCGAACCTGACCCATTTCCGTCCCTATTCATAGCAAGGATTTACACCCCTATCTAAGGTAAATTTTGTGCTTTTAGCCTTATTTGTGCTTAATGGTGGTGTAAATGCAATATATATATATATATAAATCAATTCATGAAAAAGGAAATAAAACAAACAAGAGGAAAGAAAGAACTCATGATTTCACTCTAGGAGTTGAGATTTTCTCTTCTTGCCACCACCTCTTTCTTGAAGCTTTCTTCCTTTGTTGATCTCCTTCTTGAAGTTTTCTTGATGATCTTCTTTATTCTTTAGAGGGAACTTCAGTAATTGATTGATTGAGTCCTTCTTGCCAGGGGCTGGTACGCCCAACCCTTGATATAGTTTAGGGGAGGGGCTGTTACAACTACTTGGAGTTATCCCTAGAATGGATAATCTAGGTTAGTTCTAAATTGATCATATTCTATCTTATCTTATCTCTTATGTAATGACCTCAATCTTCTAGAATTACATTTAGAGTTCAAATCTAAAAGGACTCTGGATTCTTGAATTCAAGTGGGCTGTTTTAATAAGTTGAGCTGCTATAAGGCTTTTCTGCGAATTGGGCTTCAGTTGTGAGATAGGCTTTACTATGGATCCGCTTTGACTTTGGACCCGATTTTGACTTCGGTGCAAGCCGAATTTGTCAAAACCCAAAACATGAAAGTTGTAGATCTCGCTCTTATCTTTGCAGTGCATCTTGAATCAGCCTAATGGGAGCTCGGATATGAGAGTTAGGCCCAAATCACTAAACGGTGCCGAAACTGTGAAAAACCATCCGATTAGCCTTGTTTTCCTTCTTGCTACTTTTTCCTTGCCCCGAATCAAAATACTAGAGTAATGAGTCCAATTAAATGTAAATTAAGTGTAGAAAGATTGAATATTCATAGATAAGAATATGATAATTTTTATTCGCATCACTGTGTGAGGTGATCTTGGTGGATTTAGAAATGAAAAGGGAAAAATGAAAAAAAAATAGAAGATGGGGGACGAAAGATTACCAACAGCGTTGTTGAGATGTGAATGCAACTATGTGAGGCAACTGACAACTAGTGATGGTGAAGATTGAACCGAAGGACAAGTCCCAACTGATGATCGGTCACCAGCAATGGCGGCATGAAACAACACAATGGCGTGCAGTGGCTAGGGTTCTTCAATTCTTCTCACTTCTCATGCTTAGAAGTTAGAACAGAGGAATGCTGGAAGAGAAATAGAGAATGGGTCTTCGGTTCAAACTCCACTTTTGTCTTTTGTTCCATAGGGTATTAGGGTTACAATTTTACTTTTATATTTACAATTTTAGACTTATGTAATTAATTAAATTACAATATATTACTTTTAAAACAAAATATTAAAATGGGGTACAAATGTCATTTTTTAATAATTATAATATATATATATAAATATATCTGTGTGTGTGTGTGTGAGGGTTGGATCGGATCGGATCTTTTCGGATTGAAACAATGGGTGATTCGAATTCGATCTGAATTCTAAACGGATCCAATTTTGCAATCCAATCCAATTCAAAGTCTGAAAGGGGGGGTATCCGAATTCACTAATTCCAAATCGGATCGGATCAGAATCCGATCCATTTGCACCCCTAGAAATGATGCATTCCCCTAGGAATATTAGGGCATGAGATTCCAAATGGGTAAGTTACTTTCCCATTGAGACCAACTTTTAATCATACAAAAATACCCATGAAATATTAGGGCATGAGATTGGCTTCTTCCCCAAATCCTTTGTTCAAACGGAAAGCAACAACCACCATAGAGACCTCCTACCTTCTATGAGTTTCCAAATTATTTCAAATCAATCTGGTGCAATCCATCTTTTTTTTTGGTTCATGAAAGAGGTTTCATTGTTGTCAAAATTTGTTAATCATCTTTCTCCATAGCATCAACGAGTTTTCATATTCCCCTTCGTTTTTATATTCCCCTTCATCAAATTTACGTTTTTTGCCACTATCAGTCCCAAATACGGGGCTGCAACATCTGGCACGCCCCAAGCTCCCATTGGATGCACAAAACCCATGAAAACCACCCCCAAATCGAAGAAAGAGTTTCACCAAACAGGAAAGCTTGACTATACACCTATTTCTTTGAAGAATCTTTGCCTATTTCTTTGGAGAATCTTTGCCTATTTTATTGAAAGAAGTATGCTAAGTCACAAACACTGCAGTTGAATGAATTTTAGACCCATCTCCTTCCATTTTCTCTATAAATAGAGGCCTAACTCAAGATTGAAGGGGGGGGGGGACTGAAGGGAGGACCTGAGAGAGGTCCCTAGAGAAAGAAAGAGAGAGGAGGAGGGCAGTTTTCCCAACTTCTGTGATACACCCATTCAACTTAGTCTTGTACCTTACTCAAGTTTCATTTGAAGTCCTTTTAGCTACTGGAAATCTTTTAACAAGGTACATACAAAAGGTAAGCTTTTTTTTTTTTTTTAGTTTTTCTGGGTTGCTTGAGGTTCTGAAATATTGGAGAACCATTGCTTGGAATTTCTTTTTGGCTGAGAATAGAGGCAAGGGTCTTAGGGAAATCAGTACCTAAGACCCGATAACATCACCTCAAAATCGGTCTTAGGAGAAGTTGAAAGCATGTTCCTCTGAATTTAAGAAATGCTTGCAACCATTTCTGTTTTTCCCCGAAAGAAGCTGAGCCTAAATAACTCCCATATCGGGCTACTAAAGCAGTTTGGAGAGAGGGGTGCCTAATACCTTCCCTCCCCCAATCCTTGGGACCCGAAATCTCTTGGTTATGTGCCTTTCCCATGGAAAACGGAGTCACTATCAAAGACCTAAATCTTGTTTTCAAACATGAAAATGAGGGCCCATTTCTCTAAAAAATGGGTGGCGACTCCAACTCTTTGAGCCGGCCATGAGCTTCCTAGAGCTCACAACTGTCATTTTTTAAAACAAAATATTAAAATGGGGTACAAATTTTATTTTTTAATAATTATATAAAATAATATTATATATATGTGTGCGAGGGTTGGATCGGATCGGATCTTTTCAGATCGAAATAGGGGGTGATTCGAATTCGATCTGAATTCTAAACGCATCCAATTTCGCGATCCAATCTGATTCGAAGTCCAAAGGGGGAGGGTATTTGAATTCGCTAATTTTGAATCGGATCGGATCAAAACCCAATCCATTTGCATCCCTAGGAAAGATAGCATTCCCCTAAGTAAATAATTTAGCTATTTACTTGGGAAAAATCTACTCACCTTTGAGGTGGGTAAGTTACTTTCCCACTAAGACCAACTTTAATCATACAAAAATTCCCATCAAAGATTAGGGCATGAGATTGACTTCTTCCCCAAATCCTTTGTTCAAACGGAAAGCAACAACCGCCATAGAGGCCTCCTACCTTCTGTGAGTTTCCAAATCATTTCAAATCAATCTGGTGCAGTCCATCTATTTTTTTTTCGGTTTGTGAAAGAGGTTTCATTGTTGTCAAAATTTGTTAATCATCTTTCTCCATAGCATCAACGAGTTTTCATATTCCCCTTCTTTTTTGTTTTTTACTTGCAAAAAAACAAATTTTTGTAGCAATTTGCTCCACATTATGATATGCTAATGAACCCATAAAATATGGTGAAAATGATTTTTTTTTGTTGTCCATTGGAGTCTTGGCAAAAGAATAATGGCAACTAATGACACATTAGCAACTTACTGCCACATTAGTTCCACCTTTGGCAAAAGTTAAATGGCAATCAACAACATTAGTTCCATCCATAAAATATGACAAATGGTTGTGGCATGTTTTACCAAGTACATTAGGGAATGATAAATCTCTCTATTGTATTTTACTCTGTACATTGTTAATAGATCATTTAAGGGACGGTTAATTGATTTGTTATATAATAAATAAAAATGATGATAAATTTTTGTATATATTTACTTGTCAATTTGTATTTATTCTTTTTATTTATTTAATTATGCATGTTTTGCTTGGAGTCTTGCTTACAACCCATCAAGGAAAAATTGGTTCATTGATGTGAACATCTCCAAACTTGAAATGTCATAGCCCAATAAGTTGTAAGAAACAAAACACTACAGTGGAGCTAGGTGTGGTGTTGCACCATTAATTCCTATGGATAATAAAATTAATAAAATATGAAGTGATTTTTGTTTATTATTTATTTTTTTATGTTCAATTTAGATTAAATTATTTTTTATTAACAAGAAATCCAATGATGAACTGATCCAAAAACATTCATTTTGGCAGAAGGGTAACATTGGCAATAGCAAAAAAATAATCATCTTACCCATGAAAGTAGGTGAGGCAAAAGAACATGGGTAAGTTGGGGTGTCTTATTTGCTTAGGTAAATTTCTATAATAAAAGAACATGGGTAAATAAACTTATCTGGATAAGTTTTACCTAGATGTGTGAATTTACCTAGGTAAGTAAGAATTGGTAAGCAAACAGGGCCTTAATGGTATTTATGTCAATACACTTGGGGATAATTATCACAAATGCCTCCAATCTAGAGATATTGTTCCTGTCAATCACAACATCTCAAGTTTTCCTGGATGGATTTTCTCATAAAAAGAATGTTACAACATGATTTTTTGTCTGCACAATATTCCAAACATGGTGAGTTCCATTATCATAATGGGTCCCAACCTCATGGTGAGATGTGTGGACACGCATCATGTTGATATTGTATTGGTACAAATTTTGTTGTGAAACGTAGTTATTCAAATCAAGGTTTTCGAATTGCCGTTGACCCAGATTGCCAAACCGTTCAGCCTGGGAACCATTTAGGAACTGGTTCCATTTTTCCCCAAACCCGGTTTAGTAAAAAACCATTGAAAAAGTCAACAACCCATTAACCTGGGTGGTCGAACCATCGACCCGGAAACCGGTGGCTAGAACGATTATGTTTTTGGGTCATTTTTTAAAACGTTGATCTAAATTACATTTTGTGCCCTCACAATTAGAGTGAGCAAATTCAAAGATAGAAATATTCTAGTCAATAATAAGATTTAATGAATGTTAATGGGAATTAATAACTTAAATATAAGATTTAATGGGAGGGATTTGAGTGGGGAGAAAAATGGTTGTTCAAATTACATTTCTATCCTTGCAATTAGAAAGGGACCAAATTCAAAATTTGGAGTATTTTAGTTAAACAAAAGTTCCACACTTTTCATTGTGGGGGTGGATAAGTTGGTGGGTCCCATGGAAAAAAACCTGAGTTCATATTTTGGTATTAGTGGGTCTTGCAAAAAAGAATGATTCCTGAATGACTTATTTACCTGGGCAACTAATACCCTCATAAGACTTAGGTAAATCACTTACCCATCAGCACAAAAATTTGCTAATATGATGGGACAATATTGTCCCTTCAATAATGTCACTTTTTTTTGGATAAAATTATCATTATACAATTTTACCTAGGGAATAAAATAATATTGGTAAGTACACTTATTTGATAAGTGTCTTCCAAGAAGCACTTGCCTAAATAAGTACATTTGCCCAAATAAATGACTTGTCAAGATGTAAATGAAGCCTTAATAGTATAATAGTATAGATATATACAAGAGATAAAAGGATTCGATTGTAACACCCAAAAAGACATGACATTGAAAATTTTATAACAAATCAACTAGTATCACACAACGTTTTTGAATTGTTGTTGCCCTAGACGGTCAAACCGTTTGGCCCTGAAACCGTCTAGATAACCGGTTTTGTTTCACCCTTAACTTTGTTCATGGGCCAAAAACTGTCGATTTGGTCAAAGCACCGTTAACCCCATGGTTGAACCATTGACCTGTTTGACCCATATACAGTTCGTAGTTTAATAAGATAGAAGAGATTGAGACAAGAGAGAGAGAGCGAGAGAGATGACAAAAATGCAAGATTGGAGCGGGGAGATCAAATCTCATATCACATATTTGAGATCTTAGTTCCCAAATCTGAGATGAGACATATACAAATGGTTGCTGTCACTATCACCATTGTCATCATTGGTGAATGTGAGACCTCCTCCATTATTTCATTCATTTCCTTCCTTTTTCTTCCTTTTTCATCTTCTTTTTTTTTTTCCTTCCTTTTTTTTGTTTTTTCTTTCTTTCCTTCTTTCTTTCTAAACCGTCAACCACATGTGTGTCACAAATTTTCTTTTTCTCATTAAAGTAACAAAATAATGAATATATGCCCTAATATTCCAATATAATCAAACGACCTGACCCGAATGATCAAACCACTAACCCAAGAATCGATGGCAGCGATTCCATTTGCAGGTGGGATTTTAAAATCTTGATATAAAGGGTGACCAATCAGATGGTATTCATCAAAATTAACGGGGTGCTTTTAGTTGTTCTGAGCTCTCGGGTACCGGGGGGAAAAAAAAGCTCTTCGGGTACCATGATAGATTTTCCCTATTTATTATTATCCTTGTGTGGTTCGATGCCGTGCAATTTTTGTTTTCAAGATTCTCCCAGCTCTAGCAGACGGAAAAGTTATTTACCGAAAGAAAGAAGCACGCGAACATGCCGAGAGTAAGGTATCCCGTATCCAGCCGCACATCGGGATCATCTCTATACGAGTAGGGAGATATTCCTGATATGCGGCTGATGTACATTGATCGTTTTCGCACGCTTTGCGAGTTTGCGTAGATCCGGGCTCGCATGCAAGGCCAAATACAAGTAGGGAGACAGGCAGGCCAGGATTGATTCGCTTCGTTTGCTGTCGTCTTCCACTTTTCACAAATCTTCGCTGGCCTCCTAACTCATTGAATTGATCCTCCTCTCACAACAACATTTACAGGCCTCGATCAAATCCATAGAAGATGTCGGGCGGGTTCTTCCGGGTAAAATTTCCTTTCATTTCTTTTCTTGAATAAAATTTTGACCCTGTATTTATTTGCATTTTTTCTACATCCGAGCTTATCGATTTTATGCATTTCTTTAAAATTCTGCTTCATTCCATAATGAGATTCCTGCTGGACTTTTATTCGATTTGATTTATTAGGGTACTTCTGCCGACCAAGACACTCGATTCTCGAACAAACAGGCGAAGCTTTTGAAAACTCAGAAGTTCGCACCTGAATTGGATCATCTGGTTCGCACTTATCACTTATTTTGTTTTCATTGTCAGTTTCGCTAGGATTATTTACAGTTCTGAAAGCTAGGGTTTAGTAGGATCCGATAAGTTTTAATTTTTTAATTGAAACTAGTTGTTTCGTACGGAAACAATGATGATAAGGCTAACAACAATCTATTGGTAATTTATTATCATCGAAATTATGTTTTTAGGTGGACATGACGAAGGTAAAGATGGATGTCATCAGACCTTGGATTGCTAATAGGGTGACCAAGCTTCTCGGGTTCGAAGATGAAGTTCTAATCAATCTCATATATGGACTTCTAGATGGAAAAGTAATCTTGATATTCTTTCTTTTTTTCTGTAAAAGTTATTGCTCCTTTTTATAGTTTTTTTGATATCGAAAATGAGCTTGGATTGTGCTTTCTTTTACTTGCAGGACGTTAATGGGAAGGAGGTTCAGATCCATCTTACTGGGTTCATGGAGAAAAATACTGGGAAGTTCATGAAAGAGCTTTGGACTCTCCTGCTTAGTGCCCAGAAGAATGCAAGCGGTGTTCCTCAACAGTTTTTGGATGCTAAGGAAGAGGAAACTAGGAAGAAGAAGGTTTAAATTCATATAGATTATTGCTTTTAGTTCTTATTTTGTGGTATTATTGTTGCTTTTCTGTTAATTGTTGCTATGGTTATCATAGGTTGAGGCAGACCGGATTAAACTTGAAATTCAGAAGAAGAAAGAGAAAGAGGGAAGAGAGCTTGACCAAGAGAAGCTGAAGAAGATGGTAATAATTCATCTATGCCAGAGTTATCTATTCTGGAACTGGGGTTTTTGGTTTTGACTTTCTTTATGTTTGTTCTGCCATTCAGCGTGCTTCTGCAATTATTTGGGTTCATATCGTTCTTTACCTCAAACTACTGTAGGATGGCGAGGTTGATGTCTCCAAGGAAACTAATGTTGCGTCTGACCCAATCTTGAGGTATTCACAGTCGAGAGCTCCCAGTGCTCACCCTGATGAAGAAAAGGAAGCTGAGGAGAGGAAAGGCTCAAGAGGAAATGACAGGTTAGAACTGACACCATCTACTTCTCTTATTTTATCTTTGCAGGATTTCCTTTCACACAGTAACTACTTGAGCTTCATTTGCAGATGGATTGGCCTGTGTTTCTTTTGTCACTTTTCATTTATTAATGATAAATTCTGTGTTGCATGGACATGGACATGGGGTTTGGAATCTGACACGTGTCCAAGGGTCTAACTTGGTGAACCCGAAAAAGTATAATTCCCAGACATGACTCACATAAATTATATTTTATTATATATATATGTATTAATATTATGGTTTTTAATATTACTCTTAAAATTCATAAATTATATAAGTATGACATAGTTAAATTACACTTACCAAAAAAAACATAGTTAATTTACAATTTGCATTTGACAAGTTAAGCTCACAACCTTTGCCTATATGCCATATGGACTGACTAGTTCCTTTTCATTGTTCACCTAATTCCAATGTTAACTGGAAAGGATCCAATAAGCAATGGGTGTTAAATTATGCGTAACTTGGGAAAATAAAAATACTAGTGTCCCCTATGTGATAGTTTAATGGTTGGACTACTATCATATAGAGGTATTTAAAGTAAGGGTTCACAACTTTGGAGAATTTATGCAGCAGCATTTTGATAAGTTCACCTGATTTGCACTGTAGCTGAGTCCTACACATTTTTGTAGAGTTGGACATTAGTCAACTTGTAGTCGTGGACATGTGGATTTGCCAGTTCATTTGTGGACATTGGTCAACTCATTGTCATGACACTTGTCAGGACATGCCTCATATATTGAGGTGCCTTGTCTAAAGGATGTGTGTCTCATGGACAATTGAATATCCTTTTAATAATGGATCTATAAAAAGTGGACAACAGTGAAAATCCATGCATGGTCATCATTGGTGATGCGAGTATGCTACTGAATTTAAATTTGTTATTTTAGATAGTTGATGCCTTATTGGAAGAACTTCATAGATTGTAATATTTCTGGCTCTCCTCCTCAAGATGGGTAGTGTTATAGTGCTTCAAAGTCCAAAGTTCACATGTAATAGAATGTATTCACTTGATGAGGTTTCTTCTAGCATTGTTATTCTCCTTGCAGTGACATGCTAACCTAATTGTTTTCCTCATGTTACAAATATTTTATATCTTTTGATATTTATTCATGAAGTGCTTGGCTCAGTATGTTACTGAGTCAAATCATACTCTTCTTTCTTTTGCTTCTTTTAATTACATGGTACTAATATTCCTAGGTGATAAGAAAGGATATATTGCCTTTTTTCTTTTTCTTATTTTAATTTCTTATCAAGATAGTCTCTGTTTTGAAGCACTTGCACAGCATTGTCAATGGCGTTGTGTTGACAATTGATCCCTCACACCCTATTGGGTTATGTGCATGTCCTCTTGTTCTGATTTTGCAAATTAGTTAGAGTTGATTATCCATTATGTGATATATTTCTACATATATATGCAATTTATGATTTTGTAATGTGTAGCATGCAGCATATGAATGCCCAGTTTTGTTATAGGTCTTCCTGTTTTCCGTTTTGTGAATTGAAACCTGCAACCTTGGATTTCCCTCTCTGTGCCTTGATGCACTGTTGCATGCAATCTTCTGGGTTTACTTCTTTGCAATGACATCTCGGTTCATATTCTCAGTAAATCTAACATATTTTTAAGTATTTTTTGCAGTATGTAGGAAAATGGAATATGGTAAATGCTTTTTATCATGTTTTTGATGTTCCAAAACAAAAAGAAAAAACAACTTTTCCATTTGCTTTACAGGGTCTCTAAGTCTCCACATTCAGTTGATTGCTCCTCTTCATCTCATCGGTATCTACTCTTCTCTTGCATTTAATGTATCTACTCTTCTCTTTGTTGCTTCCCAGGAGCCTACGTTCCAGGTCAATCAGTAGGTCACTTTCCAATTCCAGGAACCACTCAGGGTATGTTTTAACAATAAATTTGTCTGAATATTTTAGCTTTAAACAACTTTTGTTGGCCAGGTGTTTTTGTGTAATTCTTGTGCTTTTGCATGAGCATGACAACTTTAGAGCCTTAGTACCTACTACACTGTGTGTGTTTTCAACTTCTGTTATTTTAGTTGACCTATATGTTTTACCTGTCTTAGTGATAGGTACAAATCAAGAAGCATGTCTGGATCACCTCAATTGAGAAGGCACTCTATTTCTCCTGATAGGGGGTATCGGTCACCACAAAGACATTCTATTTCTCCTCGATGCAGACATTCACCAAGAAGATCCAGGTCTCCTCTAAGGAGATCTCATTTACAGCACAAATCACCCTCTCTTGTGCAGCATAGGATGTCCTCCCCATTGCCTGTGCGACACAGATCTCCTTCCTCGTCGCCTGTGCGGCACAAATCTCCAGTGCCTGTGCGACGCAGATCTCCCTCCTCGTCACCCATGCAGCACAAATCTCCAGTGCCTGTACGGCATAGATCTCCATCTCTTGTGCGATGGAAACATCCATCTCCTATGCAACACAGATCTCCATCTCCTGTGCGACGTAGATCTCCATCTCCTGTAAGATACAAATCATCTCCTTTTAGGCATCGATCCCCACCTCGCTTGCGCCGAAGATCTCCATCACCTATACGACATAGATCTCCTCTGAGATGGAGGTCTCCCATCTGCAGGCGGTCACGAACACCTTCCCGGCATAGGTCTCCATCTCGCCGGTGGAGGTCACCATTGCCTCAGTATTGGTCTCCACCACTGATAAGGAAGTCACCTCTTCCTAGGTCCCCAAGACACAGAAAACGATCCTCTAGACAAGGAAATAGGTATTTGACCTTCAATTTGCTCTATACTTTTCATTTTATAATAAAACTATTGGTTTTTAATCTAATAATCTATTTACAGGAGTCATAGTCCTTATAGAAGTTACAGTCCTGCATACCGAAGCCGAAGGAGCTTGAGTAGGGATCATGACCTCTCCATTAATGGAATGGATAACAGAAAATACCACGAGGGTTCTGAATCTCAAAGGTAGTTTTTTTTCTTTTTTCTTTGAGCAAGTCAAATAGGCTTCTGTTTTCACTTTAGATCCCATGGTGTTGTTTTAGAACATGGTTTGCCTAAGTCATACTTTGCCGTTACATGTAGTCCTCCATATAGGACCCGTGAGAAAATGTCTCCTGTTCATCATACCCCTGAGAGAGATGAGGTTGATCAGTCTGATCAGGCATGCACTGGGCATCCAATTTATCAAAGCAAGGCCCATCAGAAAATGTCTTTATTGTCACCATCACAAGAAATGTCTCGAAGTCCATCAGAAACTTCACCAAATCCACAGAGAATGAATCCCAGCGAAGATAGGTTTGTACTCTGTAGCATGGTACTGCATTAAAATGTCATAATGTTTATGCTCTTCTTTCCTGACTTTGATATGCTAACATTTTATGTACTGATAAAAAAAATGCTAACATTTTATGTACTGATAAAAAAATGCTAACATTTTATGTACTTCTCAAGGATATCCAATGCATCTGACAGTCCTGTTAGGCAAACAAGAGAACAATTACACCACCATGACCAGCCAAGTCCTGTCAAGCAACTAAGAGGTCATATTATTCATCATGACAATTCAGGAGCAAGTGAGGAGGAACTTATTCTCTACAGGTAGGATCAACATTGACTGTTCTGTCAATTTTGACTTCTTAGTTATTATTATTTTTTTGAAAAAGATGGTAACTTTATTGATGAAATAGAGGGTACATAAGAAGATGCATACAGAAATTACAACTCAAGAGTTAAGTAGGAAGAGAATATCGCTAAACAAGACATTCCTGTGAGCACCAGCTTTTGCTAGACCATCTGCATTAGTGTTTAGCTCCCTAGGGATCCAACCCAGCTGTGCATTTAGGTTGAGAAGGATATCCCTTGCTTCAGTCAAAAAATGAGCTAAAGCCCATGGCCCACTGCCATAGTCAGCTAGCCATCTGATTGTATTTGCTGAATCTCCTTTTATGGTGATGTTCTGAAAATCCAAATCTCTCGCAATCCTGATTCCAGTTAGTGCTGCCATAATTTCAGCCTTTGTTGAAGAAGCTATCCCTATTGGTCCGCTGAAAGCCCAAATAACTGTGTCATCTCTTCTGAAAATTCCACTGATTCCTGCTGCACCTGGGTTTCCAAACGCACTTCCATCGAAGTACAAGGTTATCTCCCCTTCCGCCACAGAAGAATGTGGGGTAGGGAGGATTAAGGGTTGGTGTTTGGAGGACAGAAATTCTGCAACATTTCTTTGGAGGTCAGAAAGTGGAACCCCTTTAAAATGCTCTGAGTTGGAGGTCCAAATGAAAATTCTATGAGAAATGATAGACAAAAGCTCAAAGTTTCTTTCTCTGTTGTTGAAGATTCGGTTATTTCTTTCTTCCCAGATGCTCCATAAGATGGCATGTGCTACGGAAATCCACAGAATCCTTCCTCTTTTACTTAACCTTCTTGCTGTCCATTGTCTGAGGCAGCCTATCACATGTTCGGGGAATGTCCAACTAAAGTTGAAAAAAATTGAGAAAGAAATTCCAAAATTTTCAGGTTTCCTCACAGTGGTTCAGAATGTGATTGCTGATTCTCTGGATTTTAAACACAAACAACAAGCATGAGGGGATAGATAGGACTTTCCTTGGTTCTTTTTCTGGAGAAGATCCAAAGTGTTGATCTTCTTTAGACTGGCTTCCCACGCAAAAAAGCAAACTCTGGAGGGAATGTGAGTGCACCAGACTGTCTTAAATAGGAAAAGTTTAGTTAACTGATCTTTCTTGATTAGAGCGCTGAAGTAGGACTTGGTTGAGAACTTACTTGCTGGGTGTAGCCTTGTAGGGTCCAGACTCGAGTGTCAGGGGTGTTTGGGGAAATGTACACTTCTCTGAGAGTGTAAAGGAATCTAGATATTTCCTTAAGTTCATTTTCTCTCAGAGGTCTTCTAAAGTCTAGGTTCCAGTTGTACTGGGAGTGATGTGAGGATAGGACAAGGGAGATGGGAGCTTATTTGTTTCGGGTAAGGCTATAGAGGCGAGGAAAGGATTCAACCAAGGTAAAGTCATCCCACCAAACATCAGTCCAGAATTTTATTTTATCCCCATTTCCCACTTTGTACCTGATAAAGGAGATGGAATTTTGGTAGGTTGAGAGTATACCTTTCCAAGGGTTTATGTCCTTGATCCGGTTCAAGTGCAACTTGCAATCCCAACCGTTTGCATGTTTCCCGTACTTGTTACTGACGATCTCGGTCCAAAGGGCATTCGATTCCTGAGGAAATCTCCACAACCATTTATTTAGAAGAACTGTGTTTTTTTCTCTTAAATGACCTATTCCCAAATCACCTTTCCTCCTTAGAATTGCACACCTGGGACCAATTCAGGAGATGGGGTCCCTTTTCCCCACTTCCCTCTCAAAGAAAATTTCTTTGAAGCCTTTCCAGTTGATTGACAATTTTGTTTGGCATTCGAAAGGATGAGAAATAGTATGTGGGAAAGTTTGCCAAAGAAGCTTTGATTAGGGTGAGTTTCTTGCCTTTGGATAAGTAGTCTCTTTTCCACGTGGCCAGCTTTTTTCACATTTTTCTATTACTGGATCCCAAAAATTTTGAGTCTTTGGGTTTCCTCCAAGGGGCATTCCAAGATAGGAGAAAGGAAGGCTTTCGGTTTTGCAGCCAAGAATTTCCTTAAAATTGCTTAGGGACTGAACATTTGCTACATTCAGCCCAACAATATTGCTCTTAGAGAAGTTAACATGGAGCCCCAAAATCCATTCAAAACAGATTATGATCCTTTTCAAGTTGACAACATTGGCTTCTTCAGCCTCTAAAAACATCATAATGTCATTTGCAAATTGAAGGTGTGTCATCTGAATTGAATCTCTTCCAACTTCGAAACCCCTCACCAACCCTAACAGATTTGCCTTCTTCACCAATTGGCTAAAAATTTCCATTATGAGAGTGAAGAGTAAGAGGGAGAGGGGACATCCTTGCCTTAATCCCCTAATAGCCTTGAAATAGCCTTTAGGTTGCCCATTGATCAGAACTAAGAACCACGTGGATTTAACGCATCCCTCCACCCATTGAATCCATCTTCTTCCAAACCTTCTAGTAGACATTCCCAATCCACTTTGTCGTATGCTTTTTCCAAGTCTAGCTTCACAATCACCCCTAGCTTGCCATTCATTTTCCTCTCTTCCATGCATTCGTTTACTATCAGAATGCTATCAACAATTTGCCGCCCTTTTACAAATGCAAATTGATTAGGTGAAATGATCTCACCTAGAATTTCCTTCAATTTTCTAGCCAACACCTTTGCTAGAATTTTGTAAACACTTCCAACTAAACTGATAGGTCTGAAATCTTTCACTTCAGGAGTGCCTTGCGTTTTTGGAATCAGACATATGAAGTTGGAGTTATTTCCCTTATTTACTATGGCCGAGTGGTAAAAGTCTTTAAACACCTCTAGCAGATCTTGTTTAATGGTATTCCAACAAATTTGATAGAAAAAAGGAGGAAATCCATTTGGCCCTGGTGCCCTATCACCGTCCATATTGAAGAGTGCTTCCATCACTTCTTGTTCTTGAAATTCCCTTTCTAACCAGATTTTACTTATCTTTGAAATTTTTGAGCCTTCCCAAGAACTTAGATGAGAGTTTCTATTTTCGGTCTTTGAATAGAGATCTTTGAAAAACTTACAAAGGCTTCAGAGATTTCTTCGGGGTCCTTCGTCTCTTTTTGCTTGATTTTTATTTTTGAGATGTGATTCCTTTTCCTCCTTTTAGAAGCATATATGTGAAAGAATTTGGAATTTTTATCTCCCTCTTTCAGCCATCTGATCCTTGATCTTTGTCTCCAATACACTTCTTCACGCCTTACCACCTTTTCCCATTCTTGTCTTAAGATGGTTCTCTTTCTTCTTCCACTATCCTCTAATTGGCGGGTTTGCTCCTTTTGGTCCAGGTCATCTAATTTTGATAGCAAGAGTATTTCTCTTCCTTGAATGCTTTAAATTCCTCTTTCCCCCACCTTTTTAGATTCCTTTTCACTGTTTCACATACTTTAGCTTTTCTAGAAATCTGTAACTTGACCAGCCTTCCACTTTGCATTCCTCCTACCAGGTTTCCATCTTCTTGGAAAAATCTTTGTGCTCGATCCAGAATTTTTCCAATCTAAAAGGGGTTTTTCCCCGATGCTTTAGATTTGTAGTAAGTGCAATTGGCCAATGATCAGAGATGCATCAGGGCCTGATCTCTTGATGGATCAATGGATAGAGATCTTCCCATTCTGGTGATATTAGAAATCTGTCTAGCCTACACCTTAGAGCATTCTCTTGCATGTTGGACCAGGTGAAACTACCATTTCTAAGGGGAAGATCATGCAACTTGTGTCTAGAAATGAATTTGGAGAATTCTCTCGTACTTTTGTTTACTCTTTTCCCGTTCGAGTGTGCTCATAACTGAATCTAGTGACATTGAAATCCCCACCCACAACCCAGGGGATGTTTGCCTGTTCATGAAGGGAATCCAACTCCTCCCAAAACTGATTCCTCTTTGAGGGGGGTGTTTGGACCATAAACTGTAGTTAGGATCCAGGTGAAATCCTCTTCCTTGTTATTGAACAGGAATGAAATCGTGAAATCACCTTTGTTTACTTCTACTCCAGACACTACATCTTCTCTCCACATTATGATAATTCTTCCTGAGGTGCCTGTGGTTGGAAGGGCTGCCCAATTTCTGCCTCTTGTTCCCTAAATTGATTTTACCAATCTCCTGTCCATAGATTCTTTTTTTGTTTCTTGCAAGAGAATTATGTCAGGATTCTCTCTTCTCAACATGTCTTTCACTATGCTTCACTTGACATCACCACCCAACCCCCTGGCATTCCAACTCAGTATCTTTAGTAGTTTACTCTAGCTGGCTTTCCCTTACTTAATCTTCTACTCTCTTCCCCTTTGCTATCCGCATTCTGGCCCACTATCCCCCATTGTAGACGCTTTAATTCCCTATTGTGTTTTTTCCTTGCTTTAAGTCGTTTACTTCCTTAGGCTCACAAACTTCCTTTGTGTTCTTTCTTTCCAAGCTCGAGATCCCACTGTTCCACTACAGTGAATTTCTAGTTTCCCTGCCATCTCTATAACTTCAGTTACTTTCTGTTTTTCCTTTTCTTGGCTTGCTGTAACTTTAGCCCTTGCTTTGACCAACGAAGTTTCCTTTGAACCAGAACTGTGGTCGTGAATACTGGGATTGTCCAACGGTTGGAATTGTCGGTCGCCTAAACTTGGACCACAAGGAAACAAATGGCTACAGTGAGGAGGAAAGCTACAATGATTAAAAAGATGAGTAGATTCGAGGTTTGAAGAAGAGCAAGGAAAGCAGAGGTTTGAAGGAGAGCAAGATCTGGATGAGGTTGTGTTCAAAGAGTGCGGTGAGTTTCTTCCTCCTCCGTCCTCAGGGCTTTTGTAACTAAGCAACTGAATCCCGTACTCCGGATCAGCTAAACAGACTTCTTCCAACAAATTGACGCACCTCACTCCTTTCCTCCGTCAAGGAGAGCTTTGGCTCTAGAAAAGCTACTTCCTATGGGTCGACCTTTGTCTCCGTCTTGTAGAAGCTCATACCTTCATCTGAGTTCGACTCTT